AAAATTCGATGACACGATATTTTTTTTCTAACCTTTAATTTTACTAATATTTTTAAGTACACAATTTATACTTAAAATTCATTACTACAGTGTTAATTTTAAACTTTGAAAATTCGCTTTTCTCGCTTTATGACTGGCCAATTCATCGATAATTTCTTCATATGAAATTTTTTATTTAAATGCTCTATTTTCATAATTTCATCATTAAATTCACACGTAGTGTATACGAATAGACAACATCTACGTATTTCAAAAATATAATGGAGAAATGTCGATTTAAAATTGTAGGATGAAAATACGACTTTTGCACAATTTTGCGCTCCTTTGCAATTCTCGCCCCTGGCGTAGGTAGGCATAGTTCGCTATACCCTTGCCATGCCACTGGTGCGCACGCGTTCACGAAAATCGGTACAATACACGGTCAACATATCACGTTACGGTGCGGTTGGCGTGGGACGTTCGAATGGAGACAGCACCTCCGAATGTTAAGCCGGAAGAATTCTTAACTGCGCGCACTCGTTTGAATCGTGAAATCGATGAAATCGTATATTGCCTGGCTCACTTGCGCGTTACCACCACATTTCGCAAACGTTGTGTTACGTCAACATCGCTGATTTAAACAAAATCATAACTTAATCACCCGACAGTGCTATGGACCGAAGACGTACTTAATATAAATTAAAATAAACGAAAATCGTTAGATTAAATAAAACAATGAGTTCACATTTTTTTTAAGTTTTTTATTAGATTATGTATTTGAAAAATGTGTTATAGGCACATTTTAATATAGGCTTATATCTCGAAGGGGTGTGGTGGCATAGCCCTCGCAGCTATATAATTTTAAAAATATTAACATCCCTCACAAGGTCAACAGTTACGTCACGGGTGGGGCGTGCTATTCTGTTCGAAAGAGCACTGCGCACGTATTGCTTAGACCTATTACATTCTTTCCGTCAACGGACGCACGTGCATTGTACGTAGCCGTGTAGCCGTACAAGTATATGTCTAGTGATCTAGGTTAACTTATTGTATTCACACCAATTCATCGATTTTGAACTGTCGGTATAAAATTGTGTGCGCGCCAAGTTAGATAATTGTTTATAATAAAAAAAAAATCTATAATATAGGCCCATTAATTACAGTACAAAGACGAAGTGTTAAAACAAACACGTTGTTTATTGTCATATGGACGGCAAACAAGATAGTCGACGGCCGGGATAACGTTAAAAATGTTAATATATTGAAGAATCTTGTTCCATCTGGTACGTTCAGGTTTTAGAACTTAAAGTCGCATCCTGTCTCATCCTTCTTATTTTAACCATTTAGTAATGATACTAATAGGCATGCGCGGAAAATGTAATTAATCCGTATGGAATTTCGTGGTTTACGACACTTGTTAAAACGTTCAAGAGAACGAGTGAAAGATAGAGACAGAAAATTACCGCTTAAAACGATTTTGCTCGACGAAATATTTTATTCCAAGACAGACACGAGTGATTTAGAACGCGCTGAAATTGTCCGAACGCGGTAATCGTACGTCAGTACAGTTGACAGGTTGCGAAAAAACCATAAAAGCGCGCATGACCTGCAACGGATAAAATTCAAATTTTATTCAGGTGCAGATTTTTCTACGTGCAAATGTAATCCGGACACGGGGGAGTGGACCGAGATCCCATCCATAAATGGTCAGAACACGTCACTGCGACATCGACGATTTGCCGAACTTCAGTCAACGCGCGTGATTTCGCCATCAACACGTCGTCGCCGTCAATCGGACACGGTCGGTCGGGTCGTCTAGTGCCGGTTGCCAACTTTTGATTTCCGTTGTTATTATTTAAAACGACGACCACCGCGTTACAATACGTACATAACGCACTGCATTATTATGAAACACAATAACACGGCGACGGCCATAGACAAGAGGTCTCGGAAACGAATCGAGTGAAAGTACATAATACACATTACACATTAAACGTGTACGCATCACGTCTGCCGTAAGGAACGCTACGTACTGCGAGTGCCGTAAAAACACCGTAAAACCTATTGCATTTAAATTGATGTTGGACATTTTTTTTTTTCCGAAACAATTACGTCCAAGGCTTTAATGTCAAGGCAATTATTTTGTTTTGGTTTTTTTATTTTATTTTTATTTTTCTGTGATGCAACACGCCTTAATATTTTAATTAACTATACGCGTTATACCCCTGGTGGTCTCACATACGTTCTCGTTAAGCGATTCGAATAGTTTCCGAAAAGTATTCATTACTAATTTATACTGGTATTTAACACGTTTCAAACAAATGCAACTATCTATTATAACTAAAACAGTTTAAATTCGACGAGTTAAATATTTAAAACACTAATACACGCTGTATTAGTGCTCTTACTAATTTACGAGAAAAAATATACATTTTTCAGTTTCACATTATTTACGTTTACTTATGATGTTAGAGAATTATTCTCAAATCATAAAATATGTTTATTGTTCAAAAAACATGTATATATACAATAAATTATTTATAATAATGTATACTATGTGCTTAAAAAGAATTTTTGTAATATGTTCACAAATAGTTGAAAAGGAATTGGAGAATAACGGTTAGGTATGTTGTGTAATGTAAAAGCTATACGGACAATATATTTTCAATAGGTTCAAAAGATCAGATGAATGGTACAAAAAAAAAATTTGTCCATTATGCCGACAGACTTACCACTGATTCGGGTAGGTTACTTGCTGACATTTTTTCATGGTAGGTAATAGATATATATGACTGAGAATTATTGTAACCTATATGTACGTATTATCTACAGTTTCGTTTCAATAGCAATACTGCAAGTAAGCTAATACAAAAATATCTAAAACGATCCTCACTTCTCATCAATAAATATTTCTATCGTACAAATTATTGCCAATTTAATTATTTAAACCTATCTGTTTACAATTTATTTGAATTTTAAATTAATAACATTATGACGAATATAATACATTGAGTACGTAAACTTCTAATGACATGCATTACTGAACAGTATATTCTACACACTAAGGCATTTTATTACATAAAATAAATCACAATATATGTATTTATAACGAATTAACAGAAAAAAAGTTGTTTGATATGAAAAATTCAATAGAAGTAAAGAATGTAAAATTGTGCTGAAACAGTACTAAATAAATATAATCTATTAATCAAATTATATTTTTCAATTCTGTTTATAGTTTAAATGGTAGTCAACCCCAAGTAGTTAGGAGAAAGATGAAGAAGAAGAAGAATTATATTATAGTTTCTTCTCATGTTCTAGTTAACTGAAATTAATTAATTTTTCAGTTTCATATATTTCATAATTATTTTATATATTTTTATCAATATTTATTGTTAAAGAAACTAAAAATACAATTTATCACGTCCCCACATTATTTATTATTACTAAATATTATATAATATATTCATTATTTTGTATGTTAATTTAGATATATTTCATGATAAAATTAAACTTAAGAATTAGTATTTTCGTATCTATCATTAATCTAATAGTAAAGATCAAGTCTAGGGTACCTAAAAGGAAGTTAGTGGAACAACTCCTCTATTATCTGTAGAATAATAATAAAAATCTATCTAAAAGATATGCGTTTTGAATTTTTCTATAAAACTACACCTAAATAAATAGTTTTGTTTTTCTATTCTAAACATATATATTTGTGGAAAATCTTGGATTCGAATATATTATTTATGAATAGGATATAATGATCAATCGTATATAATTATGTTTTAAAACAATAAAATTGTAAGTTCGAAAAATTGATTTTGGTTGAAACTAAGCAGTTTAAATTTAACCATTTGTCAATTTAAAGTTTCATTATTGTCTTAATAGATTTAATAAGATAAATCAAAATCCATGCAGAAAATTAAAAGTAAAGTTTATACAAATATCACATATAATGAAATCTAATCAAATTGCTTAATGTAGGTAAAAATAATTATATAATTTCAGCAACTTAACAATTCATCTTGAAATGAAAAATGGAATCAAAATGAATGACAACGATATGTGTTAAGTTATCACATATTGTTGTCATTCATTGATAACATTAATTTCGATATTTAATCATAACTAAAAATTAATGAGCACAAAATATATACCTAAAAAAATCTCCAAACATTTGAAATTTTAAACATTTTTCATTATAATATTTCATTACTGAACATAACAAATTATATTGATTCATTAAAACTATAACCATAATCAATAATACAAGTTTTTGATATTTTCATTTTTTTTTTAATAATAAACAGAAATGTTATATAATTTCAAAGCTATTTGAACTCATATTAATGAAAATTTAAAATCAAATAATATATTCGATAATTTTGATTAAAACCGGAGAACGTTACATAAAAATAATTCATATAAAAAAATAATTTCTTAAGATCAATAGCCACAAGCACATAACAGATATACTTTATTCAAAATCGAAAATATTATTATGAATTACGTTTAATCAGTTAAAATACTACCTATATATTTTTAAATTTCTTAATAGATTAAGATAATGAATTTTAATAATTTGAAAAAGTTTTAAATACATTCTTGTAAATTAAAATTTAAATATTAATTAATATATATATATATATATATATATATGTATAAATATATTAATTATACTTGATATTATAAATACATATTAAAAAATTACAAATTGCATTTATAATAAAATATTTACTACAAAAATATAAGATTATAATAAATAAATATAATTCACTAATATTATTCTCAATAGTTATGCATACAATATTATACATAATAAAGTCTTAGGTGTACCTATAACAACAGCTTCATTGGATTTTGCTTTCAAGTATTTTTAACCCTCTATTCGAATTTAAAAATGCAGTTAACACATATCAATTTTCAATCAAATTTTGGTTTAATATTATTAATAATGAGAAGCTGTTCAGGTAGAGGATAAATGTGAGTGCTAGATGGTTTAAAAAATATGTGCTTACCGTTGTAAGTTTATTTTGTATAGTCGACATTTGTGCAGTGCTATCATGAATATGAACTTGATCAACTCCAACTTCCACACAATCATCTAAAAAATGGTTATTACAATTCTTATATTTCCTTATAATATTTGTGTATAAATAGTGAAATTATATTACCTGAGTCAGTATCTGGTGGTGTTGTTGGTGCTGCAGGTGGCGGTTCTTCGTTACCGAGTAGTTCGTCAATATTTCGACAACCTCCAATAAACAACATTAATTGATCCAACTCATGTTGTAAATTTGGTTCTTTTGGAGCATGAGCTCCAAAAGAACTAACATTTAGTTCCTCTGCAGTCTCATTAATGACATTCTCAATTTTTTTTATTCGTAAGGAAGTCCTTTTGGTTCTAACAAAATCATCACTTTCATTTTTTTCTCCCCACCAATCGGGACTACTATCAACTAATTCATCTACTCGCTTTGAACTTGAACTTATTATATCACCACTACTAGTATTCTTAGGCTCATGACTTTGAGATTCCGATTCTTCGCTTGCTAACCAAGACGGGCTATCAAATGAATCAATTTTTCGAATGTTGGGAATATTTTCCAGAGGACTATCTGTCAAATTACTTTTTATTTGGTTTGACGATTCTGGGTCATCTCGTGACCAATCAATCGAAATACTTGTACTTCTTGTATCTGTATTTTTTTGGTCTTCTGTCCACCATTGAGATTCAGACGAATCCATTTTCCTAACTGATGGATAGTTATTGTCCCAAGGCTCTAATTTTTTCGAATTTAAATAATTATTATCGACTTGGTTAAAATTTGAATTTATATTAATTTCAATCATATCGGTTTCCAATTGAGATCCTGTGCCAGGTTCTAACCACCTCTGATTTTCAATAAAATTCATATTAACTTCATTTTCAGAATTAATTGGAAATAATTCATTTGGATTTTCTTTGCTTTGATCTTTTTCTTCATATTCAATACGTTGATTTTTATTTGAAATATCACTTGATGAATTTATTTGTTTAGTCTCATCTCTCGATAGCCACCATGGACTATCGAATGAATCCATTTTTCTGACTCCGTAAGAAAGAGTAATTTCTGGATTTTTTGTTATAGAGTGATCACTGTTTGTACACTCAACATTGTTTGAACTTAAATTTGACTCATCACTTACACATGAAGCTTTTTCTTCTTTTAACCACCAGGGTGTATCAAAAGAATCCATTTTCCTTACACAATATGTTGGATTTTTAGTTGATAAAGAATTATCAGTATATGAATCTATATTTGAAACACTATCAACATATGAGATTGAATTTTGAATATTTAATTCTGGTTTTTCACCATTTTGTTGGTATAGATTTCTATTGATTGATTTTGATCTTTTTATATCATGTGTCGGACTAATATTTGATAGTGTGTTACTTTTAATAGATTCAGAATTGCTATTAGTACTTGATTTCGAATTTTCATTTATATTATCTTCTTGGGCTGCTTCTTGTAACCATGCATTTCTATCAGAAGAATCCATTTTTCTAATACTATATGCATGATTTTTATTTGATGTAGAATTACTCATTGTTGATTCTGAACGAGAAGTACTTTCTGTACCTGATAATGACCCTTCGTTATGATTTGCTTGTCCAGCTTCTTGTAACCATCGATTTCTGTCTGAAGAATCCATTTTTCTTAGACTATAGGAAGGGATTTTACTACCCAAAGTATTGTTCATATTTAAATCAAAATCTATACCAGTATTTGTATTTAATGTTGGTTCTACGTAAGTATTTTCTTTCTGTTCAGAATCTTCTAACCACCAGGCCTGATCAGAAGAATCAATTTTTCTTATTGGATATTGTGGTCTCGGTGTTTCTGATATGATTGCAATACCAGAAGTGACTGGCGTAATACTTCTAACTGTAACTAATTTTGGTTCTTCGATTTTTCGACCTGTTGGCGGCTTTTCCTCTGCCGTGCTGGAAAGTGACGGAGAACGGCTGATACCAGATTCTTCTCGATTTTTTTCTAAAGATCTATTTCTAGTCCAATTTGGTTGTGGTAGTTTCGATGTCTCTGTCCCACTTGAACGACTTTTACTATGACTTGAGGAATCGGAAAGATACGAATCTTGTTCATGACCTAAAACATTAAATCCATTACGTTTTTAATTTAAAAATTATAAAAACAAAAACATACCTGAATTATCACTAGTTGATCCAGAATCTTTAGACTTATAATAATTATAACCTGATCTATTGCCGACATACCTAGCTACAGGAATTGAAGATATTGCTTTAAAACTTGGCATGTTACGAAGGAATCTTTCATCAGTTTGTACATTGACATCCATTCCTTTTTCATATTTTCGTGGTACTGTTGACATGATAAATTCTTGTTGTCCAGCATGTTTACTTCGAAGGAATGTACTATGAGCCGGGGGTGTAGGTGACGTACCACGAGTAATAACTGATACCATGATGTCAACGGGAGTTTTTTCCGTCTCAATATCCGGTACATTACATACCCCAAAAACTGTTACAGACTGCTCCTTGATCGGACTTCGAACGATTGGTGCACCAAAACGGCTAGTACTTCCTGTTCTCAAAGTAGATTTGTTTCCAAAACCCGATGATGCTACTCTCAGCCTTTTATCAGCTAAGACAGCTTTGTCCCTCGCTATAGAAGAAAATTTGTCTTTAAGTGTAGTCACCGAACTTGAATCGCCGTAAGTACGATTTGGAAGTGCCGAATTTCCTGTGAGAGCTCTGTATGAAGTTCCACTTAAAAAACGGTTTGAATTTGTATTCTAAAAATTACCAAAAATGTAATAAATACAATTTATCTATAATTTGATTAAAAATATTGTATATTTTACTTACTAAAGTGGAAGGACGTTCTGGAGCTGGCGTGTAATTCTGATTTGGAGACCTCCATGGTGGCTGTTTATTAGTTAAAAAAATACATCTTAGATTATAATAACACAAAAATAAGCAAATATAAATATTTAATAAGTAAATTACTTACTCTTGAGTTTCTGTATGAAGAAGTCATGCTTACATTCGCATATTATCAAGACGTATAACTACAGTTCGACTGCTGGATATAAAATGTCAACAACGCAATGTGCACCGGAGTATTGAATGCGGGCCAACTACACGTCCACTGATCCCGTAATGGTTATTTTTATATTCAACTCAAAGTGCCTAGTGCGAACTTGAAGCCAAATGCGATTTAAAAACACGAAAATTAGACATATGTAGAACTCGTGGAACTTATATAGTTATTATGTAAAAAAAAAAAAAAAACAATTTAAGATTTAACGCAATTAAAAAAAAAAAAAGTGTAAAAATAGTTTAAATATTTTTATATTGAATAACCACTGGGTATTGTTGGAAAAAAATCCATATAGAATATTATAATAAAATCATACTTGTTATTAATATAAAGTTTTAAATTAACGATACAAAACAATACGTTCTGTTTAAATTTGTACAACTACACTACAAATGAAAAACAAGAAAAACTGAACACAAACTGTGTGTCTGGGCGTCTGATGAAACATTAAATTATATTATGGTTCATTTAGGCTACATTTGTAGATATTTGGCACACAAGCAATCTGTCTATTATGCATTTCTCCTATCCCCAGACCAACACATATCCGTCCGAGAATACAATATGTTCTGTTCCGCAGTAAAAACTGCCAAAACACTGTAATTACTGAGCAACTACGCTTTTCTAGCCAAAATGTATTTTATACGTAAATTTTTTATTTTGGTAATTATAATTAATACTGAAAAATTTAATAAGTGTAAAAAATATAATTTATTTTATTGTAAATTATTTTGTAATGGAAAATTTAAAAAATTAAAAGCAGAAAAAAACGAATGAAATAAAACATATAATGAATTCATTATTGCTTTTAGATTTTAGAATTTATTTTAATATTATTAATATAATTGGCACTCCATTTGATTATTTAATTATTATATTAATAAGGCTAAATAGTACTATGATTTTAAATATTTTAAATAATATATAATTTAAAACTTAAGCATTATCTGTTTTTCACGAATAACTTTTAGTACTCAAGTCATGTAACAAATGTTTATAAATAAATAATAATGTGCATTTTTAATTTTATCATTTTATTGCACCCATGATGGTAATTATGACGTCCTAGCATCAAAATGTTATTTATTAATTTTATTATGTTTCCCATTATATGGCTTAAAATATATATTAAACACTCAGTTAAATTCGTGAATATGTGAGATTTACTCTTGATTCGCTACCCACTAAACCTATCTTAGTATACTTATAATTGAATGACCAAACTTACAGTTTAATATCAACATTAAACAATTTATCTCACGAAACTACATTTAGTACCAACACTTATACCTACTGGTTATTTAATGGATTATATGTCAGTAATATTACAGTAACCTACACCAAAATCATTTTAAATGACTACACAATTACTTTTTATTCGTAGAATAAAACTGTAATCCTATCTCTTTCATTGTATTTTTTAACACTGAATATTAACAAAAGAATTTACATTATTTATTTAAAATTAAATCGTAATAATAAGGAAATTAATTCCATGAACATGTAACATATATTATAAAGTTATAAAAAATAATTAAATCAAAATTATTTTGAATTATCTGTGATAGTCATTTAAAAATAAATCAAGTAGAAAAATTAATTAATTATTTGATATTTTTTAAAAATAACTGAATATTCGGATTGTCTTGTCTCTTGTATAAAGACAACTTATACTACTTATAGAAAATATATTTTGAATTCGCTAATAAAAGCACGAAATGTTAATACCTTTATTTAAATTACGTCAGATCTTGTTAAATTCTTATTAATAATTGGACATCTACTATCAAATGTTGTAAGTTTACTATGTGTCTTTATTCAAACTTATACACTAAAATATATTTAGGTATATTATAAACCATAACATGAATTCAAATTTATAAGATCAAACAAATCAATAAACACTACTGTAAATTAGTAATTTTATGTGGTAAACGATAAAAGGAAAGCTTGTAAGTAATTTATATTACAATGATAATGTAATGAAAATATTTTTAAATTTCAATGGCTTAATTTAGAAACTAATCATTTATCTCTTAAAATTTTAAAAATTCATCATTTCGAAATACTACCGTTATCGTGATGAATTTGTTAATATAAACATAATATTTCTAAAAAGCTTCGTTTATTTAAATTAGCAGTTTCGAAATAAAATATTTTTCAAAAATCTATACATAAATAATATTAATTTCTAAAAATGTTAAAAGTTTAAGTTATTGCAATCATAAATATTATATTTTAATTTAAATATATTTTTATATTTACATGTATTTTTTATAAGTCGCAAATTATTAACTTTGTTTTTCAGGTTAGGTTAGATTATATACGATGAAGTTTTTATAAAAACCAACCGCGCTTTAAAAATATAAAAACACACCAATTTAAACTTTTATTTATTTATTTCTATACAAAAAATATTTTTTATTTATTTATCAATCAATTTACGAGTATTAACCATTTAATCACTTTTAATTTTTATATTTTTCATTGCTTTATTATATTGTTGTAGGTCAATTATTAACGCCTGTTAATATTTTGTGTATGCAATTTAAGTTACTTATACTCACTATGTGTCTATATAACTCAACACACCATATCAATACAGCTAACTAGTATCTATCATAGTATTGTTAGACACCAATCCTATTTTTTTTTTAACCAATTTGTTGCCAGAAAATATACTTAGAATGCCATTTGTAGGGGAAAAACCAACATAGACGAAGGTACATTCGCGAAAATGCTCAAAGACGACCTATTGAAAATCACTCTCGCAATGTTATACAACCCAAAAAGGTAAGATATTCTATCGACCAATTTACATTAGTTTATTTGGTAAACTCATATTCAGATAAATTATCTAACTAGAATGAATTCAATATCCTGAACGTAAGTATAATTTCCCTGTTGAGTTTTATATTAGTACTAAACAAAATTAAATTAGTTCCCGTAATTAAATAACAATATTACATTATTTTAACTTTAATTAACGATACGAATAATGATATTAAGTAATTAAATAACTTATTATTTAGTCAGTGAATTAAATATTTTTTTTTTTAAATTATGTTGCATATCTACTGATAGTAAATGAATTAGTTTTTTTACACAAAATTAACTTGGTGAGAAATCACGTCTTATTCTCTTTTTGTAGCTAATAGTCTCACGACCGGTGTCAGTGCCAAACCTATTAGATTCGAGCATTTCACATATATTGTATGTTACCATAGTACCACGTCGTTACGTCGTGTAGATTCGCTACGAAAACAGGGATTCATTACCGTTTTGTCACTTCCATAACAATTTGTTATAAACTGTATTTTTAGGATATTAATTTAGCTCAAAATAAATAACTTCAACTATCGTTTGCTATAAAGATCTAATTTTAAAACATCTAATAAAATTGCGAAACTTCAATAACGACTAACCAATGAATACGCATACATGTGGAATATAACCAAAATAGTTGGTCATACATTACATAATGTATATTTATTTATATATGTAGGTATATTTATAACCCATGACAGTTTCGGTCATTGGATGAAAAATAGGTGTTTATAAGTCAGGATTACTTTAATATGTTGACATTTTCCAAGATAGTTTTTATAGGTATGAGTTCGTAGAGAACACACCATGGTCACCCATTAGGGAGGGGATAAGACGACGCCCAACCCTCCAGAAAAATAATATGAACTAGTAATTTTTTTAAATATCATTATTATCATTATATCATAATTATCATTATTATTATTAGTATTAAGTATAGGAAAAAAATATAAAATGCACAACTATTATCGAGGTCCGTATCACCAGCACGGCCACTTTTGAATAATAGTACCAAACCTTGATAGTATTTTGTACTTTTTATTGTACAATTTTATACAACCAAAATAAAATTTTGTACACCTACCCAAACCCGAGAAAACCCGATTTTTCTATGGCCGTGCTGGGGATACGCATCCCCAGCACGGCCATTAACCAATTATTATAAAATTGAAATTTAACATATACAGTATTTTGTACTTTTTTTGTACAGTTTTGTATACCCATCCAAGCCCGATAATGATACAATCACCTATAAAATACTGTATTTAATTTATTATATTTTTCTCATAAGGTCAATAATACGTACTACGGAGTACCTTTTACCATTCTAATCTATTAAGTAGTAATTACCATTATACAATTTTTAATTATTAACTTTTGTTACCTATAAGATAGCAGTGGTACAGGTACCTAACCTAACCTACCTTGTACAGGTACGAGTTCATACTTACAAAGGACATAGTCATGTCTTAGTATTTTGCATATTTTATTGACACACCATGTACTAGTATTAATGATGTACCTAATTATATTAATAAAGAATTGAAATATTAATTTAAAACTTTTTTTTAATGAATTCATGTTGAAATTTATTAATATAATAATTAGGTGATAAAACTATTTAATTATTTATGATTTTTTTTTAAAAAAAAAATAGCAGATACGCCTAAAGTGAAGATTTTAAGGATACGGGAAAAGATATAGGAGTATATAAATGTATTTAAATTGAATGTATTTATTTCGTATTAAAATGTAAAATACTACTACTACAAAAATTATTTTTTTTTCATTCATTATTTTAATATTTTTCGTGGTTGTGGTTTTGTATTTTGAGGTGCTATCCCTCAGTATTACTCCTCGGTAATATTATGACTGAATTTTTGATTTGTTTGAGAGTAAAAATTTGATACAAAATAGTTAAAGCAAATTTTAAATAGACTAAAAACACTAAAAAATATAAATAACGATGTAATAGTAATGTAAAATGTAATAACGCTCCCTTTTGCCCCTCCCGTGGCTACGGGCCTGGTCGACCATCCAGTATTTTTGAATGTCTACTTTCAGTTTTTTTCGCCCTCTTCCTAAAAATGTTCTTATATGCGCCCATGGTGAACACTAAGATACCGGCTGCACAGTGATAATCCGTCCAGAATACGGTAGTATTCATAGAACGGTAGTTTCGTTAGGTACATGTTGGGCTGGGAGAGAAAGCGAAACCATGGGTGACCGAGTTCGAACCATTTATTGTGCGTGTAGACGGGAGCGCGTATAATAGCCGATAATATATTCTAGCCAAGAAATATTTCAGCCAAAAATTAAATTATCCTACTCGTAATTTGTCCGAATCGTATTT